GGTACGAACGAGACTCACCCATTTCTCCTTGGGAATCCTTGAATTCCTGTTGTTGAGCCTCGGTCTTCACTGAAGGGCCAGTCATCAACTGTTTAAGTGTTCAATTATCAATAAGCCAAAGTCTGTGGAAGGCCATAATGGCCCTGCTTTAAGTGGTTCACTGATCCCGCAGCTCACCACGCTGTCTCTGCCTCCGCTGCCATCTTGGATCTCCACAAGTGAGATTTTTTTTTTTTAACAAATGATCCTTTATTGAAATATTTTCATCTGTAGTTCCTTAGCTAGCTGGGCATTCCACAGCACCACTGTTGATGTCTTCTATGATGTCATGAGGGTCCATCAACATTGCAGCCCACAGATTGGGCAGTTCCCAGGATCTCCTTAATAGTTCCAGAGAGTTCTCTGGCTAAAGACCAGTGTCGCATCTGCCGGGCAATGCCAACAATCTCATCAAAAGTGATATTTCCACTGTGCTTAATATTTTTCTGCTTCTTTCTGTCTCTGGGTGGTTCCTTTAGGGCTTTGATGATCAGGGCAGAGGCAGAAGGCACCACTTCTATCTGGGCCTGTCTGTTCTGAATGGTCAGTTTCACTGTAATCCTTAGTCCCTTCCAGTCCACCAGTGGCCTTGGCAATGTCATCACCAACCTTTTTTGGAGACAGACCCAGGGGGCCGATCTTGGGGGCCAGCGCGTAAGTGGCACCGACTTCCCCACCAGTACACCTCAGGTACACGACTTTAATCTCGTTGGGGTCGAACTTGGGCGGCATGGTGGAGGCGGCTGGTGTCGGATGAACCCAGATGCGGGATGACCGAAGAAAGTTGCACCGAGGCCTCCTCCGAGCCGAAAGCCGAAAGACTGGAAGGCCTGTGGTCGCGCCCACAAGTGAGATTTTTAAGGAATGTTGTATTATCAATTGTTGCATAACAAATTATCATCCTACAACAACCGGCATCTATTATTTGACAGTTTCTTTGGCTCAGGGTTTGGGGAGTGGCCACGCTGGGTTGCTATGCTGGCTAGGGCAACAGTCACTTGGAATCTCCTTTGGGGCTGGGGACACACTCCCAGGATGACTCACTCACATGGCAGTTGGCGGTAATCCTCTGTTCACCTGCTGTTGGCTAGAGGCTTTCTCACCAGATGGTCTTTTTTATCAGGCTGCTTGAGTGTCTTCATGGCATGGCAGCTTGTATCCCCCAGAGTGATCCAAGGAAAATGGCAGAAGCCAATGCCTGAATAATCTAGTCACATATCATCACTTTCTACATATTTCATAGGTCACATAGACCAATCCTGATATAATGTTGAGAGAACCACACAAGGGTGTGAATGAATATCAGGAGGGGGGATAATCTTGGAAGTTGGCTACATCTACAGCAGACAGTGGTGGGACAGTATGTCCTCTGCTCTCTGCCCCCCATGTAAAATCACTTACTATCTTGTTGAAGGTCTTCTGCTCTTTAGCTCACCTGCTTCTTTCACTAACCCACTCACCCTCAGGCCCCAAAAGCTTCATCCTATTGTTTCTATTGTTGTACCATACAGTTGACCCTCCAGTGGGTTTTCAGAGGCAGTTAAACAGGAGACTGCCCATCTTTAATCAGCAGAGCAGCTGGTGGACTTAACCATGTGCCTTCAGGATTGCAGTGCAGCTTCTCGCCACTACGCCACCAGAGGTCAACCTAAATCTAGTAAATCTTGTCATCTAAATCAGGTCAGGGTATGAATGAGTCTCCTAAAGGATGGCTTCTCAAGAACAACAGTCAAATATAGTTCCTGTTGATCTGAAGACATGTGGACTGAAGGGTCAAAATATCTGCTCCCTACATATACAACATATTGCCTGTATTTTGCTGACCCCTTATTTTTCCAAGCCTGTTGTCCCTTTCCAAGAAGAGCCAAAGAATACCAGAAGAATGTATTTGTGTTTTATTGACAATGCAAAGGCATTTGTGTGGATCTTAACTATGGTTAACATTGAGAAAAATAGAAATCACAGAATATTTAATCATATTTTATTAAACCTGTACTTACATCAGGAAACTGTTGTCAGAACAAAGCAGGGAAACGTACAAGGTTTAAAATAAAAAGATGTGTCCAAGCTGTGTCTCCATACCTATTAAATTTATATGCTGAGAAAATAATTTGAGAAACTGAACATTATGAAGAGGAATGTGGCATCAGGATTGGAGGAAGACTTATCAGCAACCTCTGTTATGTGGCTGACACAACTTTGCTTGCTGAAGGTGAGGATTACTTCAGAAATTTGCTACCGAAGATCAAAAACTACAGTCTTCAATATTGATTATATGTCAGCATCAAGAAGACAAAAGTCTTCACCGCTGGACAAACAGGCAGCATCATGATAGATGGAGAAAAGATTGAAATTATTAACCATTTCATCTTACTTGAATCCACAATCAACAGTGTTGATACCAGCAGTCAAGAAATAAAAAGATAACAACAGCATAGTATTTGATATTTCAACAAATCTCATTAATCATCTATAAAATTCAGTGACATACATAATACTTATTGTATTGATCAAATATCATTACTATCCATTTACAAAGCTTTTCATAATCTTTGAAAGAGGCTCAATGCCTCCTAATTATGAATCTTTCTTTTCTCAAACTTCTCACTCCAGGTAACTATCAATAAAATTTGGTCTCCATTAAATGCATTTTCCTATTCTAGATGTTTTATGTAAATATAATGCTCCTTAAAGGCAAAAAAAAAGATGTATTTCACTGGAATGGTCTGCTGTAAGGGATTTCGCCAAAGTCCTGAACAGCAAGGATGCCATTTTGAAGACTAAGGTGTGCCTGATTCAGACCATGGTCTTTTTAATTGTGCTATGCATATGGAGAGTTGGACAATGAATGAGGATGCTACAAGAATTGATGACTTTGTGTTGTTGGAATACCGAATATCCTATGGCCTGCCATATGCCTTGGTTCAGAAGGTACAGCCAGATACTCCTTAGAGGCAAGGATGGTGACGCTTCCCCTCATATTCTTTGGGCATATTACTAAAAGGGGGCATTCCTTGGAAATGAACACCATGCTTGAAAAGATGGAAGGTCAGCAAGAGAGAGAAAGACCCTCAACAACATGGACTGACACAGTAATTGCAATGGTGGGTTCAAGTATGTCAAAGATGATGATGATAGGACAGGATTTAGATCTTTTGTTCATAGGGTCACTATGTGTCTTTCTGGACTTGACAGCAAATCCTTAACAGCAGACTTGGCAGTGCAAGACATCTTTTGATTTCTTGACTGCTGGTACCAGCGTATTGACTGTGGGTCCATGTAAGATGAAATTGTCTTTGATCTTCTGCAGCAAACTTCTTAAATCCTCCTCTCATCCTGATGCCAGCCTCTTATTCATAAAGCCCAGCTTCTTAAATGAGTTGTTGAGCATACA